GTAAGAAGTTGGTGGTTGTGAAGATCCAGACGCCTCAGTGGAACTAGCTAACACAACAGCCTCCGTGCCCAATTTGGAAGCGGCAACACCCCAGAGCTGACTGAGCAACATTCTGAGCTATAAACCCTGCCCCAACCCCAAAACCTTTATACGCTTTGGGGCCAGAAGCATGTGGAGGGATGATCAGAAGAGTGAACCAATCCCACAGGGAATGGAAGAGGAGGTGCAGATGGAACCAAGGTCAAATTGACCAACTTCTCCAATTCTGCGTCCCTAAACATTGACTAGGGTTGCTCTTCTACGTAGTATAGGCTTACCACGAACACTTGAAGTGGAGGGCACACTGTCGTCTTTGTCCCCAGGCCTTGTGACATGGTGGCGCTCGGCTGGATTTGCTGAGATAACAAATCCTTGTTTAGTAATACCACCACTATAGCTGCTTACACTCAATTCATCAATGCTGCTTTATCTGAACCTATCTCACTGAACCCAGAAAATTATTCATCATCTATATTAACACTTCTATGGTCAGATCAGATGGCACAGGTGGTGAGGGTAAAATCCAGTGGACTAATAAATCCTGGTCTACTTAACCATGGCGACACGGCAGGGCTAGCGAGAGCTATGTACTGTACACACACACTATACAGTGCACATCAGTTTCTGTATCACTCATATCTGACATCTGTGTTAGGTTCTTTTCTGGATTTGGGTCATCACTATCACTGGCACTGTCATCTTCAAACAAAATGACCTGTATTTCATCATCTGAGTGTTTTCTCAACAACTAGGTCAACTGATGACTGGGAGCTGGATGTGGATGTGACCAACATGGTTGCTACCTTCAAACTGAGACTACCCACATCTGTAAGGCATACTGGGAATTTTTTTCAGGATGGCGGACACTCACTGGAAACCTCGGGCTTCCATCTCGTACCATAGTGACTGCGCTGGATTTTTTATGCTTATAATATATTGTACCTATGAGCATCATAAGGCGCTCATAGGTATATCGTAGGTATACATACACCACCAATCGAGTACCTTAAGCCACTGCGCAATGCAAGGGTAAAGGGAGCAACCCCCAAACACTCCAGTGAAGAGAAACCTGAAGCACCAGGGCAGCGCTAGGGAGCACACAGTGAAGAGAACCATGTGCACATGCAGCTCCAAGCACTCTTCATGTCCAGGTTCACACTACCCTAAAAAATGTAAGAGATGCCAACGATGACAAAAACTACCAGTTAGCTGAAGCAGGAAACTGGAGTATAAGTGAATAGAGGTGACCCAGCACACACTAACATCAGCATAGGACTGAGAAAGGTGTCGCTGGCTGACCGTAAACTACTTCCCGCTTTCACCAAACATGGTGGGGCAAACAAGCTGACATTAGTTTTAAGAATTTTCAATTGTTTACATTGTTGGGGCATTTAAATTTAAATTTTGCCCCGAGGGGCGAGTTTATTGGGCAGCACCACTCATCTTGTGAGTGGACATACCGCCATAGCAGCATTTACAACACACCCCAAGAGGAAGAAAACCCGCTGGGTTGTTAATCCTGTCACTTGTACCCAGACACAGCTGGTACTTGCACCCAGGAAATAAGTGAACAGGAACACCCAGGAAATCTCAAGTGAACAGTTCCTCAAACAAGAAGATAATCTGTCAATTTTAATCTATTTAAATAATTTAATCTGTCAACCCTTAAAAGCTTACGTTATCTTGAGGGTGCAAAATGGGGAAATCTTTTAAGAACAGTATCAATATTTGACAAATAGTGTTTTCCTAACTCAAACAATATGGGGTTTTATTATTCTACACATATTTCTAATGTCTCTCAGGTGTTCACATTCACGTAGATAGTGGTCAAGGTGGTGTCCGTCACTCTTATCACAGATTCTGCAATTTCGCTGATCAACTGTTGTTTCCATTCCAAATCACCATGGATATTTGTATCCAAGACGGGTTCTTGCTATTACTGATTCTCTCCCGCGTCCTCCTCCTCTTCGCTCATAGCGATTGGGATTGCCAGCTGTAACCATGTTGTACTATCGTACAGATTCACTTGTTTGTGTTTCTATCCTCCTTTCCTCAGTTACCTTGTCACGGTGATGTTGCCTGATGATACCTCTAATTTGTAGTAGAGTCTTGGGTATGAAGTATTCAATATGGTCTCCTTCAGCAGCCAGCACATCAGCTCGTTCATTCCCACATATTCCAACATGGGAGGGGATCCACAGAACCTTGATGACTCTTTCCTGATTAGTAAGTACTCTCACAGCTCGGTATTCTTTTAGTGGTTCTCAAGGCTGCGGTCTCTACCAAAATCCAGCTGTGGTCTGTTTTCTTTCGCTGATTTCCTGGGTGCCTTTCCGGGTGGTGGCATAAATAAATAAATAATTGTAACTGCTCCCTGTGCCTCTGTGAGGGGGCCAGGTTCAGGCTTGTGGTCCCTGATAGATCAATTGAACTCTGTGGCTGATGCAAGCTAGTAGATGACACACTATCAGTGGTTGTAGCTTCAGGGAGCCACAAGACACTTTCCCCAGCTAAGAACATTTAACACTTTCGCTGGCCTGGCTGGGCACTCAAATCGTACCGGAAGGTAGACTGAGCATTCCCAGTGAGCACACAACCCAATGTTAAACTCATTCACCCACAATGTTTATACTTAATGATAAGCCATTACAAAAATGTTTGCATGACACAGTTTGTGTCATCACGCACTCTCTGGTTTTATCACGGAGTATGCGTAATCGGGCAGCGAAAGTGTTAACTGATTTCATTTTCAGAAATGAGACATTGTTGTTAGTCTAGTACTACGTGACTTGTGATAAAGTATACATACAAATTTATTTATTTGTTTATTTATTTATTTATTTATATATATACAAGAAGGTACATTGGGTTTGTGAGAATACATTGAATAGTACAGTATTTACAATCTTGTAAAGCCACTACTACGCGCAGCGTTTCGGGCAGGTCCTTAATCTAACAGATAATTTTAAGTAGGTAATTTCTATCAGAATTGATAAATGATAACAAATACATTGCAAGAGAAAAATGAGATGAGAAAGCTTAGTAAGTATATTAAAGCACATTGTTATATTAAAGCTCTGATTGATTACACTGACAGCTTGATTGGTAATTTAAACAAGATTAATAGACACCATACAGCAGATTGACAGCACATATAAGACAGCAATGATCACAATGGTAAAGATGTTCAGATTGGGTACATAAAGATTGGGAGACTGGGTAGCAATAGATACAGATAAACAAGATTAATAAACACCATACAGCAGATTGGCAGCACATATAAGACAGCAATGATCACAATGGTAAAGATGTTCAAATTGGGAACATAAAGGTTGGGAGATTGGGTAGCAATAGATACAGTGCAATTTTAAGGCAAAAGGTGAAAAACTATGAAGATGAAATTAGGTACTTTTTAGTATTGATTTTGAATGATGTAAAAGTTGGACAGCTTTTCAATTCAATAGGGAGTGAGTGCCATAAACTGGGTCCCTTTATTTGCATAGAGTGTTTACACAGATTAAGTTTAACTCTGGGGATATCAAAGAGATATTTATTTCTGGTGTGGTGATAATGGGTCCTATTACATCTGTCCAGGAAGAGTTTCAGAGCAGGATTTGCATTTAAGAACAGGGTTTTGTAAATGTAGTTGACACAAGAGAATTTATGGAGTGAGATTATGTTTAGCATGTTTAGGGAGTTAAACAAGGGGGCTGAGTGTTGTCTGAAAGCAGAATTTGATATTATTCTGATAGCAGATTTTTGCTGGGTGATGATGGACTTGAGGTGGTTTGCAGTGATTGAACCCCATGCACAGATACCATAGTTGAGATAGGGATAGATTAGTGCATAATATAGAGAGATGAGAGCAGAGTTAGGTACATAATATCTGATTTTGGAGAGTGTACCAACTGTTTTAGAGACTTTCTTAGTTATGTGTTGTATGTGGGTACTGAAGTTGAGTCTCTTGTCTAGGAATAGGCCAAGAAACTTTCCATCATTTTTATTGATAATGTTTACATTGTCTATCTGAAGCTGAATTGCATTTGTAGATTTGCTTCCAAATAAGATGTAGTAGGTCTTTTCTATGTTAAGTGTTAGTTTGTTGGTTGACATCCATAAGTGGACTTTTTTTTTAGTTCATTATTAACAACATTATTTAGTGTATGTGGGTTGGGGTTGGAGTAGATGAGGGTAGTATCATCAGCAAACAAGATAGGTTTCAGAATGTTAGAGACATTAGGCAGATCATTGATGTATATAAGAAATAGAAGAGGTCCCAAGATGCTGCCCTGAGGCACTCCAACGGTTATTGGTAGAGTTGGGAGAGGTTATATTATTGATGGCTACACATTGGTGTCTATCACTAAGATAGGATTGGATATAGTCCAGTGCATGGCCTCAGATTCCATAGTGATGGAGTTTACATAAGAGGTAATCGTGATTAACAGTATCAAAGGCCTTTCTCAGGTCAATGAAGAGTCCAATCGGAAACTCATTTTTGTCAAGGGCTGAGTAAATTATATCAAGGAGACTAATAATTGCATCGTTGGTACTCTTTTGGGAGCGGAAGCCAAACTGACAGACTTTATTATCATAGGTTTTAATTGTCATGATAATTTGATATGTTTCACACAAGTTAATCATTATTTTGACTTAATTTTATTGTTGATTCCATTTTATAAAGCACTTGTACATGAAAAGCCCCATATAATCCATTCACCTGGACTGTATGGGTCTCAAACCGTGGACCCCATGCATGTGAGGCTGTAGCACTATCAACTAGTGCTACGGCCTCACACGCGAGGAGTCCACGGTTCAAGACCCATACAGTCCAGGTGAATGGAATGTTATTTCCACAGAAGTGTGGAGGCAATTTACACCAAATAATATCTATAGTTTGTATTTTTCTATTAAGATAGAAATTGTGACCATAATTACATCTACAGTATATGCTTTTCCAGGGTGTGGATGATGTGACTGGTGAACCACTGGTCCAGCGAGAGGATGACAAGCCTGAATCAGTTAAGCAACGTTTGGATCAGTATGCTAAAACAACAGGCCCACTGAAAGAATTTTATGAAGATTTGGGAATTCTTCAGAGTTTCCATGGCACTGAATCCAATGAAATTTGGCCTCGTGTTCATAAATACCTTCAAAATTACTTGACTGCATTGAGTGGGCCCTTTTAAATTCCTTATTGGCTCATTAGAATCAGAAGCTAATTAGCTTTTGTGAAACTAAAGTCAGTTTTGTGTTGCTACTTTTCTGGCTGTGATAGCAACAAGAGAGCATTTTATTACATAGTTATCTATACTATAGCAGGCAGTAAATCTATCTATACATTTGTTCATCTACTTCTTTTCAAATTACATTGGTAACTAATGCCAGTTAAATGATACTTCACTGCGAGCATAATTGTCATTTGTGGTACAATATATTGTATTTTTTTTCTTTTAATGAAGCATGGAGGAATAGGTTTTTAATGTATATATTTAAGGTATAATAATTGTACCTTTATATAGCTGTGTGGTGTTATCAAAATCCCCAGAGAGAGATCTGGTGATTTATGATGCAGCACATGAATTTCCTGTGTAATAGAGTATTGTTAAAAGTTTGACTGCTGACTTGTAATGCAATATGTTTATTTAAAGTTGTTGATATTTCAAATGTATATTTTTATAAGCTATTCTCATCTTTATAAATTATACATTATTTAGTTGTTTTGATCAAAAGCTAGTGTTTCTGAAAAGTAGACTTTATATTTGATAACTATAATGAACAACTAGTCTTTCTAGGGCATGTATATAAATATGTCAAATACTATTCTTGGAAACACAAGACTCTCCATGTAAAACTCAAAATATATTTTAATGTAATTTGACATTAAACTTATTAAACCTGCAGTCTCTGTTTGATATATTATGTTGTTTATCTAGCTACAGTAATTGTATTATACTTATTGAGAATTATTGTTCTGATTGCCATGGATAATAAAAGTTATATATTTTAATAGTTCTTGGTTTTGATTTTTTTCATTGTTGCCGGCGGAGGTGGCTAGTTTATTGTGCCCCCCATAGTTCTTGGCTGCATTTTCATCCTGGCTTTCTTGACTTTAATGAATTCTTCGACCAGATTGGTGTGTGTTGTATTTGCTTAAAGTTCATTGTTATTGGATTTGTTAATTTTAACACTAAATGTAGTTTCTTCTCATGATTGCGTGTGGTGTTATCAATATAAATCTTGCCCATACTCATAGTTACTGTATTTTACGTGAAGCATAATTTTTCTGGGGGAAGCCCCTTGGTGTCTCTCTGAAGCTACATCACCTAGATGACTCCTCATTACTGGGTTACATAAGTCACAGTTGTTCTGTTTGGCCTACCGGGGACCAGCGCCAGAACCTGACCCTCTCACTGAAGCACAGAGAGCTGAGGATGTATGATCATCACCTACACTGGGAAAGCATCCATAAAGTCAGGAAAGCTTTACAGACAACTGCAAATTTCATAGAAAATGAAGCATCAAGAAAGCCAAATGACTATGCAAACTGGCATCTCCTCCCTTCTATGTGGCTCCATTTCCTGGTCACAAGGCTTTTGCTGCGGATGCTTTTTTGTTGGACTGGTCAAGGTGAAGGTGCATGTACCTCTTTCCCCTGGTTCAGTTATTGCCCCAGGTGTGTTCAAACTGACTGTGTACTCGGGGACGGTAATCGTTCTGGCTCCTTGGTGGCCATCTCGTTCTGGCTCTTGTAACCTGGTGTCTGAACCCCAGGTATTTTTCTGTGGCTCTTCTTTTTTCAGCAGATTGGCCTGGCAACATACCTTGCCAGTTTACTAACTCTACAACACACATTTGTAGCTAATAATGCAGATTTATCACCATTTGTATGGTGAGCAGTTGGCTGGTTGTTTCACTTGTGGCACTCTTCACAGTGGCAGTTTGAAGCTACCTGGCACTCATTTTGCCTTTTTCTGTCTCTTCATTGTTTTTCCTTCGATTTTATTCTGGTGACCCTATCCTTCTTGCCATTTTCTTTTATAAGATTCTCATATGCCTAATAGTGTCGCCTCTTATTGTTTGGCATTGATGGACCCGTTGTTGCTCATGTTCGACATCGATGCGGCTTCAGTGTCTTCCTGTATGTTTTCTTCCATTCTTTCGCCTCGAGCCAGCTCATGCTCTTCCTCCTGAGCTGTCTTGATCTCTTGACAGAATCTTGATGTTCCTTTCCTTTCCTTGGTTCAAAGTTGCCCCTTTGGCCAGTGATACTTTTCTCAAGGCTGTTTTTTTGGCTTTTGGCTCTGGTTGCAGGGTTGGGGCGCTTGATCCCCTTCTCCAGTGGCATGAGTCCTTGCTGTGTGTCCTTATTACGGCCACTATGGGTCGCACCCGGGTTCTTGATGGATGAACCCAAGTGAAAGTATCCGACCCCAGGTCAGTAGTGGCTTTCAAGGAGTTGACTAGGTAATGCAATAAATAAAAGGTGGGGATTAACACAACACTGATTCCTTTATCAATATATTCCCATCACCTTAAATAGAAACATAAAAATTAAATATTACTACACTTAGATGTATATACAGGTGTCGCTCTCACATAGGACACTGAGCACTCTACGACACTAACACAATGCAGCCTTCAACGATCTTCGTGTTTCCCCGACACACAGAACTGTTCCCGACCTTACTGACCACAATACTGGGAAACACTGACGAGTCTACCTTTGCCGTGGGCCAGCCAACCTGCAGTCTCATGAGGTGCCTCTCTGCCTACAACCACTCTCCAGCTAAGTGCTGGCAGAGAACCTCAGCCACGAGCTGGTTGGGGCCTCTACACAGACAAATACAGGGGTACCGCACCCCTGGCAGGAGCCTCTAGTGACGGGCTAGTAACGGCACCTCACTGTCGGCCGTCTCTCCCCTTCGCCAGTCCCGGGATACGCCGAATTCCTCCACTACTATTCCACTAGCAGAAACTACACTATTCCTGATCGGCGGCGGTTCACTTAGTCGTCGGGCGGGACTAAGTTGGGAGAGCTTAGGCTGCTCAAGGTAGACTGCCATCCTCAGTACCACTGCTGCCCCAAGTCGCCTTTGTGGATACAGACACGTCATCAGTTATAGGGTACTGGAGAAACCAAGAAGCAACATTTCGTCACGAGGGCATTGACATTGTGCTTGTCGCTCCAACAGATGGTGCTGGTCTTGAATCGCCACATCACCAGAGGTCATCTATAATGACCTCACTTGTTATTCAATGTAGGAATCTTGAGCCATATGCAGCTGTGAGACCACCACCCATAGATGGCGTTGTCTACATAGCGTCCCATTCCCGGGGAGTTTGAGTACAGACTCAGATGCTGCTGGAACTACCAGGCCATACGCGGACGGCGGTGATGAGTCCGTAACACTCCTTCCTGTTAAGTCCCCTTGTTTTCCTGTTTCTCTGTGGTTAACTACCTTCAAGGCACCACCAAGGGGCTCCTCCCAGAAAAACTAGTGTTGAATGTAATGAAATGTCTTCTTCTGGTAGAGCCTGGATGACTCCTCAACTCTCTCCTACCCTACTAGGTTCATTGGTTTGTTTGTTGTCTATATACTGTGGATCATTGGGTGGGGTGAGTATGGGTCAGGGTTGCTTAGTGGCAGCTATCAGTATTAATGGGTTTGTGGTAGTCAGAATGGATCAATTGTTTCAGCTGAATAGTTTACAATGTTGTTTGGCTGTTTGCAGTTACTTAAAACTTCGCTGACTATCTGGATGCTTTCTCGGTTTGGATGATGGAAACGTTCCCAGTTATCTGTGCCTATGTGAAGAGGCCAGGCTCTGGCTCTGGTCCCCAGTAGACCAAACAAATAATGTAACCCAGTAGTGGGGACCCATCTCGGCGAGATTGCTGCAGGAAGCAACTAGGGCTCTTTCAGAAAGACATTTCAGTACAATGTTAATTAATAATTAGAGCCCCCCTAATGGTTCTCTGATGCTATCTTGCTGAGATTGCTCCATACTGAAGGGTCACATCGGTTGCAGAAGTTTTTTTTTCTAACACAGACGTAGCCAACATTTACAATGTTAACTAGCATATATACATTTTCTTCTGTCCTCCATGGACAGGGTTAGAGATCTGTTAAACATATAGTTCTGTGATTTATTGAACATTCAACCACAGAAGGTGATTGTAGTGTTTTTAAAAATGCTAATCTAACCTACAAACATACACAGATTTACATCTGTCCTAAATAAACAGTGTTCAAGGTGTCTTATTACATAGTGTCATTAATGTGCATTTACAAAGGTGAAATGCAAATCTGACTAGCTTATACATGTGATATATATATATATATATATATATATATATATATATATATATATATATATATATATGTCGTACCTAGTAGCCAGAACTCACTTCTCAGCCTACTATGCAAGGCCCGATTTGCCTAATAAGCCAAGTTTTCATGAATTAATGTTTTTTCGTCTACCTAACCTACCTAACCTAACCTAACCTAGCTTTTTTTGGCTACCTAACCTAACCTTACCTATATGTATAGGTAAGGTTAGGTTAGGTAGGGTTGGTTAGGTTCGGTCATATATCTACGTTAATTTTAACTCCAATAACAAAAAATTGACCTCATACATAGTGAAAAGGGTAGCTTTATCATTTCATAAGAAAAAAATTTTAGTAAATATATTAATTCAGGAAAACTTGGCTTATTAGGCAAATCGGGCCTTGAATAGTAGGCTGAGAAGTGAGTTCTGGCTACTAGGTACGACATATATATATATATATATATATATATATATATATATATATGTCGTACCTAGTAGCCAGAACGCACTTCTGAGCCTACTATGCAAGGCCCGATTTGCCTAATAAGCCAAGTTTTCCTGAATTATTATATTTTCTCTAATTTTTTTCTTATGAAATGATAAAGCTACCCATTTCATTATGTATGAGGTCAATTTTTTGTTATTGGAATTAAAATTAACGTAGATATATGACCGAACCTAACCAACCCTACCTAACCTAACCTAACCTATCTCAATAGGTTAGGTTCGGTTAGGTAGCCGAAAAAGTTAGGTTAGGTAGGTTAGGTAGTCGAAAAGCAATTAATTCATGAAAACTTGGCTTATTAGGCAAATTGGGCCTTGCATAGTAGGCTGAGAAGGGCGTTCTGGCTACTAGGTACGACATATATATATATATATATATATATATATATATATATATATATATATATATATATATATATATATATATATATATATATGTCGTACCTAGTAGCCAGAATGCACTTCTCAGCCTACTATGCAAGGCCCGATTTGCCTAATAAGCCAAGTTTTCATGAATTAATTGTTTTCCGACGACCTAACCTACCTAACCTAACCTAACCTAACTTTTTCGGCTACCTAACCTAACCTAACCTATAAAGATAGGTTAGGTTAGGTTAGGTAGGGTTGGTTAGGTTCGGTCATATATCTACGTTAATTTTAACTCCAATAAAAAAAAATTGACCTCATATATGATGAAATGGGTAGCTTTATCTTTTCATAAGATAAAAAATAGAGAAAATATATTAATTCAGGAAAACTTGGCTTATTAGGCAAATTTGGCCTTGCATAGTAGGCTGAGAAGTGCGTTCTGGCTACTAGGTACGACATATATATATATATATATATATATATATATATGTCGTACCTAGTAGCCAGAACTCACTTCTCAGCCTACTATGCAAGGCCCAATTTGCCTAATTAGCCAAGTTTTCATGAATTATTGGTTTTTCGACTACCTAACCTACCTAACCTAACCTAACCTAACTTTTTCGGCTACCTAACCAAACCTAACCTATAAAGATAGGTTAGGTTAGGTTAGGTAGGGTTGGTTAGGTTCGGTCATATATCTACGTTAATTTTAACTCCAATAAAAAAAAATTTACCTCATACATAATGAAATGGGTAGCTTTATCATTTCATAAGAAAAAAATTAGAAAAAATATATTAATTCAGGA